GGATATATATATATATATATATATATATATATATATATATATATATATATAGATATATATATATAGTGATATATATAGTGATAGTGATAGTGATAGTGAGTATATTTAGATGAGGATGAGGGTGGGAGAGAGGGAGTGTGTGTGTGAGGGGTATATACACTATACACGCGCATGTGTGTGTGTGTGTGTGTATAAATATATATATATATATATATATATATATATATATATATATATGTACATATATACGTGTGTGAGTGTGTGTGTGTGTGTGTGTGTGTGTGTGTGTGTGTGTGTGTGTGTGTGTGTGTGTGTGTGTGTGTGTGTGTGTGTGTGTGGGAGTAGAGTACGGAGAAAGAAGGAGGGAGGGAGGGGGAGAGAGACGAAGACAGAGACAACTGAGAAGGGAGATAGAACAACAGAGAAGGAGAGGAGGGGGGGAGGGGCGGCGTTCACAGACAGGCAGACATGGATTTTTAGAGAAAGAGAGAACGAACGAAAATGAATTATAATTATGCATGGTTCCCCTCCGCCAGCCTACCAGTCTGTATATTCACCCCCCCCTCCCAATTTCTCTCTCTCTCTCTCTCACTCTCTCTCTCACTCTTTCTCTCTCTCTCTCTCTCTCTCTCTCTCTCTCTCTCTCTCTCTCTCTCTCCCTCTCTCTCTCATTCTCTATCTCTATCTCTCTCTCTCGCTCTCACGCTCTCTCTTTTCCTCTCTCTTTCTCTCTCTTTTCCTCTCTTTCCCTCTCTTTCCCTCGAATACTCTCTCCCTCTTTCTCTCTTTCTCTCTCTCTCTCACTCTCCTCTGCCCCCCTCTCTCTCTCTCTCTCTCTCTCTCTCTCTCTCTCTCTCTCTCTCTCTCTTTCTGTCTCTCTCTCTCACACACACACTCTCTCTCTCTCTTTCTCTCGAAAGCTACTCATCCTTGGCATAATATACACGTATTCAATCTAGAGTCACCCGAGTCCTCAACAGGTAATAGATTTTGACGCCCGCTAGTCCAACCATAATGCAATTACTGAACTCAGAGCTAGGGAGAGCGAAAAGTGAAAGTAAAAGCAGCGCAGACTTGTTTTCAACTTGTGGGATCTGTCAGATCGGGTCTTGGAGAACGCTGGTCTGTTTTGTCCACTATTGTTGGATCAAAGTTTGATTTTTAATACGGAGTGCACATTGGGGGATCGGGTCGGGTTGGGTCGGGTCGGTTTGCTAGCCAGATTGGGGGGCGCAAATCTGCTATCGTGGCAGAAGCCGATCGCACCCGACTCGTCGCCTCAAAAATAAACGCGTTTGTTTTCAGGCAACGAGTGAGCACGAGCGCCCCCGACTCGACCCTACCCGATCCCATTCGCAATGGGCACCCCGTATAAGATGTCGTTCTCGGAGTACCTAAAGCAAGCAGCAGCAACAGCAGCAGCAGCAGCAGCAGCAGCAGCAGCAGCAGCAGCAGCAGCAGCAGCAGCAGCACCAGTAGCAGTCAAGAGGTCCGAATAGATAGAGATCAATACTATTTCCCCACTGATATTATTTCTTCCTCCCGAGGGAGTTGTTTTCCTTAAATAAATCGGACTCGTGTGCTATCGAGCAAAACAAGGACGAAAGATGAAGAAAAGCAAATCTTGCGAGTTGTGCCACAATGGCACCGATTCTCTTTTCAAAACCCTTACTACCAAATTGAAAATGTGTCCTCGTGTCTTATGTGATCTTACCATCATTGGAAGTGATTAAGGAGTCTCCGGGAACGTCCTTGACATTAGCGGTTTAAACTGAAAGGTCGAAGATCCTTAGAAACGAAGTTAACGATTTAAAAAAAAAAAACTAGTTTGCTAAAAGAAAAAAAAAAGGGGGGGGGGAAGAAAAAAGAAAGTAAAACCACTCCTACATAATTTTTGTATTGTGTAGGCCCTACTTAATATCAGAAAGTGCAGATGACCCGTTTCTTAAAAAACACGGACACTCTTTATGTGGACATTTTATGTGTTCCTTCCTTAACTTCGTTGTTAATACAAATTACATCTTGTAACGAAAGTTAGTGTTTACCTTACAGATTTAGGCTCTCTGTACTGTGCAATGACTTTAATGAGGTTTGGTGAGTTTCATCAACGTTTTTGAACAATGTGTGACTGACTAGGTCTCGAGAAAATTGTTTGATTTTGTTTAGTTTCTCTTTTCGTATTTTCTTTTTCCGTGGGGGGGGGGGTGGGGAGGGGACATACTTAAAGGACAGAGA